AGCTAAGTTTTGCTCAATATCTCATTGTATTTACTTATATTTTCTGCTTACAAGTTCCATGGCAACAGGTCCTGGACTCTTGCAGAAGCATTGCCCAAGACAATGCTCACATACCTTCAAAGACCACCCTGTTACGATTTTGAAACCAATTTTAATATTAATTTGTTCCCCTAACCTTGTTTCCCTTGACTGCTTTGTAAGCTCTGTACATCGTCAGCAAGGTCAAATGATCACCCTCACTGGATTGGAATTTTCTCCAAGCAGCCAAGGCAGCTTCCCTCTGTGATAAAAACAGTCAAAGTAAAATATTAATCTCAAAGTTCAAAACGAATCTCTTTAGAACAATAAAGAAATTTACCACTCGGTGGCAAAATAAAGCAAATTCTAATCTCTGATTACCTCTGCTGTTTGTGACTGTTCAAGACTTCTTCATTTTGGGGGTTGAAGTTGACGTTCTTCAAGTTTATTAATCTTCCTCAAACACTCATCTCACTCTTACCTTGTTCTGAGGCGAGTGTTGGATCGACTCAACAGACAGCAAGGACACAATGGTCAAAATTTCCTCGCTGTGATGAAAAAAACAGATTCAGGTTTTCAAATATCACAAGAAAATTCCACAATTTAAGATTATGACTTAGTTGAAACTGTTCATGTCAGAAATCACTCTAATTTTTACATTCCATATCATTGGAAAATTTCCAATCTTCCTTCGTTGACTTTTTCTCACTTCTCATCTTGCCAACAACTTTAACTGCCTATTTCTGAGCTTTGACATTTTTACGGCGAACTCACAAATTTCTACGCTATTCTGAGTATCAGTTATTTTTACCCAATGTTTTCTTCAACTTACAGACAACCATGCTGCTTGGAAGCTAGGATGACTCGAGCAAGTCTAGGTTCCAGAGGAAATACTGACATCTCTCGGCCAATGGGCATCAGCTAATGACAAAAAAATTGACTTCTGAATATTCATACCATTATACATATCCATAACCTCACACTCCTATACATGTCATGGATATTCAAACCACACACCTCCATCATGAATAATTGTATTATGCATATTTCATACACACTTGCCAACAATAGATTTTTATCTAATCTGATATACATATTCATATTCTCATACATATTCATGCATCTGACCTGTTGATTGTTTTCCTTATCCACAGCACCCAACAGTTGCAACTGCTCCAGTGCACTGTGTAGAGACTGCAATAGAAGAAAAGAATACAACTCAAAAGGCTTAACAATAAAATAATGTTTAGACTAAATTTTAATAGAACCTGTGAATGGCAGTAAAGCGCCCTCGGCCGTCTAGGTGCATACCCGATGACCAATTTAAATACTGCAGAGTGCTTTAGATCATACCTCATTTTAACTAACAATTTGTACAGGTGTTTCTACTCACCTCTTTTGATGGAGGGTCCATGAAGTCAAAGGTCAACACGTCACATATGTTCAGAGCAAGCAGCTGTAACACCACGTTAGCAAGGTTACATCTGCAGTTTACAGACCAAAAAGATGAAGCATAAATCCTTCTATAAAACACCCTGAACCAAACGTAAAACCAACAATAATGAATTTGCTTCAAAACAAATTGAGCACATATGACAAAGGGTCACAGTAGATAGTCTTCCATGCAGCCTGTTCTTAATTTCATGACTTCTAGTTTGTGTTTTGTTCAGAGTACCTCTGTATTTCTGGAATAGTGTTGACGGGCAGACGAGAAAACTCACTCTCGGTGTACAGTCGCCAGCAAGTGCCACTGTTGACAAAGAGTGAACGGTTTTGTTTAACAGTTAATCTAAACTATTACTGCTTAAATAGACAAAAGAGTGCCCTCTATGGTTCATACATGCAGGGGATACTGACCTGTCCTCTCGCCCTGCTCTGCCCGTCCGCTGCCAGGCCTGAGCCTGAGAGACCCATTGAACTTTGAGCATATCCAACCCACTCCCTGGCTGGTAACTCCTGGTCAAAATAAATCCAGCAGGAACAGATTTAAGGCAGTGAAAAAAAGACAACTGGCCCATTAATATATCAGCTTCTTGAAACCTGGGATTCTCTGCTGGAAATATGAAAATACAAAATTTCAAGCGCACCATTCTCATCCACGTAAAATTAATTTGAGGCCCTGGACAAAAGATTCACAGATAAAAGAGGGATTGGTGATTTCATGTCAGAAAGTTTGATGGAAGTATAAATAAAGTAGCTTGAATCAGGAGCTGGAAAGAATCAAGTAAGTGGAGATTATCAAGCTTGTTTACTCTTGGTTTAAAGCTTTCAGCAGATTCTAAGGTTGCGTTATTGAGAAAGACAACTGCAGTCACTCACTTTGCTTTGACTTTGCCAGTGTCTATCACATGCTTGATACCTGGAATAGTCACCGATGTCTCCGCGATGTTAGTGGAGAGAATTATCTTTCGTTTGCCCTGAAGAAAAAACAAGGAGCAGTTTGAAAATAACACTGCTGATTCTTCCAGCCAGCCTAGAAAAACGGGAATGAAGGAAAAGATCTAAAACGTACGGGTGGAGTAGGCTGGAAGACTTTCAACTGCAGATGTGATGGTAAGGCTGCGTACATGGGAGTTACAACCAGGCCAGGACAATCTACATGGTGAAACAGCATGGAATACAATGTTGAGAGAACACTGGACATAGATATGCCCTCATTTCATGAAAATGTTTATCACGTACTGCTCCTGAGAGGTTTATAAAAGCTTTAAAATAATATTCATTCAACCTCTACAGGACTCTGCGTACATTAGGAGTAACATTTTAGGAAGCATCTTGGGGGTGTGTGATCTTGGGACACAGACTAGAGTTTCATAGTCAGATAGAAAGCCTCCAACAGCTTCCAAGGCAGATCTCGACAAGGTCCAAAATCTCTTCTAGACCTTGTGAAATGGACTTGAGATTGGGCATACCAGGATAGGCTTGGGTAGGTAGGAGGGCAGGAGTGAGTGCAGGGATCAGAGGTAGGTCTCCTACCTGACGGAAGGTCTCTAGCAACTTCTTTGATGGATCTCACAAGGGTTTCGATCTCCTCTTGACCCGTCAGAAACACCAGCATATCCTCACTTGAAATGAGACAAAATAAAAAGAACAGTACCTGGTACATTCTACTTCTGTATAAACAGAACACAATCCCAAACAGCTAAAGAGTCACTTGATTGATTTTGAGAACTACATGTCCTTTTTACCCAAGTTATCAGTTACAACAGGGGATCGTCAACAGAGGTTTACAACAAGTGTATACGTAAATGGACAGAAAGAAGTACCGAATCCCGTCTGATTCAAAATGGCAGAAAATCACAATACAAAGGCATTTTATGAGTTTCTATGACGGCATCTGTTCGTTCTGTTAGATGCTAAGTGTTTTAATCTTTCTTCGGCTCACCTCGCTGGCTGCTTCTGATGAATCTGAAAGATGGCCACCATTGCGGCAAAGAGGTAGTCAGTCTGGGACTCGCTGGAATAAAGCAACTACAATCAAATGACAAACATGGCAGCCATGTCAACTCTGACTCCTGACAGTCTGACCTTGTCCCAGTGAAGCGGCTGCGGCTAGCTATAACCAGCCTGTGGGAAACAGATGTAGCCACTACCTGCAGGCTTTTATGGCTGTAGGTATCATCTAGCCACAGCCAGGAATTGGGACAAAGCCTCACTTGAAGGATACCATTTGCATACTTCATAACTGAGCTTACATCCAGCCCAACTTCTCTCTGGTGTGCATAGCCGGCAGCTTTCCAAATCTCCTAAAATCCTGAACTGAGCACAAGCCATCATCAAACTCTTTTTACTGTGACAGAAGTCTGAGATAGCAAGCGCTACGTAAGGTAACAGTTTAAGGTATGTACAGTCCTCAAGTCAAGGAAACCCAGCGATTCCGTATGATTGGAACAATTTAGGCTAAGCTTGGGGATAACTTGGATCTTCTACAACAAGGCAATGGCAAAATGTGAGAACACATAGCTCAGAGAGATTGGTTCCAACCTGTATTGGGTGTTGTCTTCCTTGAAGGTAGAGAACAGGAGCATTGTTGAAGTACAGGGAGAAATGGTCGACGTCCATCGTCGCAGACATGACAATGACCTTGAAGAAAAAGGTGATGAGGGATGCTTTTGGAAACACTTGTAACATTTCAGTCATCTTTATTTTTTTCCATAAAAGAGAGTTGCTGGATGCCTTGCCTTACCTTCAGAGTTCTGGCGTCATTTCCAGATCGTTGCTTCTGTGCCTTCTTGACAACACCAAACAGGACGTCGGTGTGGACCGTTCTCTCGTGAGCTTCATCTAAGATTACAATGCTGTATCTGACAGAGAGATGGAAAAAGTTTACCCAGTTATAAAATCGAATGTGTTAACATGGCAAGTCTTGTCTGTCTTTCTGAATGAAATCTCTCCTATAAATTGAACAGATGAAGAAGGTAGATTTAGGTTTTAAAAATTCAGAACAAAAAACTCCAAAACAAAGGACATTCTTCGAAAGATCAAACTCCAAAAGCAATATACCCATTTTCAATTCAACAAACAGAACCATTACCCCTATTTGTCTCATGCTCTTTTTTTGAGAAAATGACCACGTTTGTACCTGGAAAGTTTAGGATCTAAGATGGCTTCTCGTAACAGCATGCCGTCCGTCATGTACTGTAAAACAAAAAATGCAACTGGAATACTTAAACCGCAGGAACTAAATTGCCTCAACAAACTGACAAAAAATACATACTGAACTCCCAAGCTGACAAAAAATACATACTGAAATCCCAAGCTGACAAAAAATACATCCTGAAGTCTTTGTTCAAGAAGTCTCTTTCCTGATCAGTTTCCAAATTGTCCAGTTAAGTGAAATACAAATTGACATCAATGTACATGTAATTATGTGTCACTAGATAAATTACTCAAATCCAGAATGACCATTTAATATTAAAATCATTACTATAAAAATTCTAGGAAAGTAGGACGCCTGTAGGCTTGCTTGTAAACAAGGCAAGTGTTTTTTTACCAGCATGCAAAAAGTTGAACAGAATCAACCGGCCTCCAGAAACTTCCGAAAGGGGGGGGGGTGTGTTGGCATTTAAATGTGAGAAGCAGTATACAGGTACAATGTACCTTAATTTTGGTCTTGGCAGATGTCGTATCATCGAATCGTACACAGTATCCAACCTGTCATAGTTCAAGATGTACAGTTAGTGTCTGTCGCAAGGGAAAATCTGCTAAGAGATAAGTCTTCAGTAAGCTAGAAAGATATTCAATATGCCATGCATTGTCACCATGGTTTCATAAATAATAAGAAAAGGGACTCTACAACTGAATTCCAACACATAACTAATCAAGAACTACAAGTAGCAACAAAAAGAAATCAGAATTGGAAGTACGACATGTGAAATATTTGAAATTCATTTCTTTCTGTGGAAAATTTAAGGCTAGATGTGTGCGCACTTTGGATATTTAGTAATTCCCAAAATACACATAAAAAGAAAATAAACAAGACGCCATCGTTGCTTTTCAAATTGTGGAACAACACGTACCTCCTCTCCAAGATTTGCATTCATTTCTTTTGCCACACGTGTTGCTATGGAGATGGCTGCCACACGACGAGGCTGTGATTGAAAGGAACAAAACAAAATTGAAATTAAGTGCTGTGGAGCCAAGTTTGTCAAGAGTATTGACGTCCCAACTCTGGGAAAAAAGCAACGAAGACGGCCAATGTTCTTGTGAAAACAACTATGGTTGCAGAAGTAGACATTTAACTTGCAAAGTTCCATTCGACATGTTTTTCTTAATTGATTTTTTTCAAGAAAAAGTGAAGCCCTACACCAAGCTCTAGCCACAAGATTTGAAGGGGCCATACACAAAATTTAAAAAACTAAAAACTAAAAGGTTATAAGAAACATACATGGACATGCACCTGCATGTATTCTTGAGGACCTGATCTTAAAAGAATTCCAAATATTTTCAAAAAACAAAATAAAAAGTCATTATTTGATAAATGTAGAAACATTTCAGGGACTCTATACCAAAATGTTTGTCTTACTAGCATTTAAAGCAATACGTCCAAATTTATTAAAAACATCATTACTGATAGACAAAATGAAATGCTTGTTTTCAGGCAAAGTTTATGAATTGAATAATTAATGAACTGTAAAAATTTGTCACATACCTGGGTGCAAGCTACCATACCTCCTTTACATACGTTGCCTTCAACCAGGTACTGGGACAAAAACAAATAGAAATGGTTGGAAAAATCTTACTTATAGAGGGATTTCACATTAGCGCCATCTGCATATATCTACATTGAAAGCGTTGAAAAGTGTTGAACTTCATCACACGCGCCCGCGGAGTCGACACAGTACATGCAGTATCCGGTTCGAATGTACAACGCCACTTCAGTTTAAACCACGCCCACTGCACAAGATACACGACCATCGCAGGTATGTTAGTTCGTGGTCAATTGCCGTTCTTTTTGCTTTTGATTTTAAGTGTCGACTCATCCTAAAAGACTCTTTCACAAATATTTGCAGCCTGAAAAGTCTGAATTTAACATACCTTTATGTATTTTGTGTCTTGACTCCTTACTTTTAATCCTCTGATCATATTAAGAACTGAAGTTGAATACATACAGCCTCGTTTTCAAACGCGGAAGTGCGCAGATCGACGCTAAATGCGTCATATTTAGATCCCTCGATATGTTGCAAATTAACTCCCTGAGTCTGACAGGGAGTGCCAAGTTTTGCCACAAGCACAGACACAAGTTTATAATTAAACCCTAACCAGGCCCACTGCTCAAAGTAGTCTGGAGATATGACACACAGAACAGAGTGACACACAGAACAGAGTCAAGGCACCAGGTAAGTCTTAGGACTAGAGTTTATCTTTTGAAGGAGTCATGGACTTCTTTCATCTGCCAATCTATTTTCTTGTATGGCTAGGGCATTCTTCTTACTGTTTATAGTTGTAGGACTCACATGAACTGAGTAGTTGGAGTCCTGAGTTTCTGGATCAGTTTGAATGACCTATGACCTGTGAATATGGGGAGTGACGTATGGTCCATGAGAGGCTTGTGTTGTCAGGGGTGGGGGGGGTGAGGCAGGAGGACAATAGTGGAAGAGGGTAGGAGAGGAGCCTGATGGCTTGATGGATCCATTCTACCTGAGGGATCTGTGTCGTCTTGCCACTACCGGTCTCCCCAATCACGATGGAGCTGGCATTCTTCTGCAGTTCTCTCATCAGTTTCCCCCTGGCTGGGTAGATAGGCAGACTACAACGATGCTGGTACAAATCCTGCAGTTGCTCCACACCACTGTCTTGGGAGAACTTCCGACGTTTGGGTGTTTCTGAGTTCATGATGGTGCCTTGTTTGATTTTCCTTGGTTGATCATTCGCAGGTTGTTTCCTCACCAATGGTCATCTACATACTTACTAATTTGAAACAAATACAAATTGTCAAGCATTTTTTAACAAGTCTTATCAATGTTGACCATTAAGTTAACCACATTTGGTGTGTGCAAAATTTTCCTGAAAAAGAGAAATCATGATTTTGATTCATAAGGGCTATTCAGTGTCTCATCTAGGTTGCACTAGGAAGCCATCTAAGCAACCTGTCCTAGGGACAGGCAAAAATTTGACAGGTAGAGTTTTTTTCTAGTAAAAACGTCAGCACTTCTGAATAAATCATTAGATTTTCATCCAGAGCAGTGGGCACAGTGGAAATATGGACTCAGAGAGCATCCAAGGGGTAACAGTTTCACAACTTTTGCCAGGGAGACACATGGTGGGAAAGGACAAACACGAGTCAGAAAGGTTAATCCTCCAAAACATTTACATTATAATATATACATAACACCCCGTGCCTCAATCAGTCGAATCTTGAGAGTTTTATGTCAAGTTCATGTCTCCCTACAGACAAGAGAATGATACTATCGGCCTAGATGCAGCATGGACACGTGATGGAGGAAGCCATGGACACCGCTACAGCAACTGTGATAATGTTACGCCCCAACTACAGCGTCTGTCCCAACTATAGTTGTCCCAACTATAGTTGGGACAGTCCCAACTGTAGTGCCCAACTATTGTTGACCAATTTCTACAGAAACTTTCTCAACCTTATCCAAGTTTATACATTTTGCAATTGACACAGTTCATCTAAAATACGGCACTTCATCTATGACATTGACACTGTAAACAATATCACTTTGGCACATGCTGGACATATGTACAATGGACCCCTGCCATGCCTATGCTGTAGTTGGGCCGGCCCAACTATAGTACTCTAGTTGGGACTGTCCCAACTATTCAACCACGCCCTAGCTCAACAGTTTATGGCGTGCGCATTGGCCATGTACTAGGCCTTGGCCCCATTTCAGATTTTGGTCCGAAATTAACGGCTTATGAAAGCATTAATGATAATCCTTACTTGTGGAATCGACATAATCTCCTCTGATGAATAACAAGGATACACTCTATTTACATAAAAATTCATCCACTTTCTCCAGATTCCCAAATTCGAGCTATGAAACTCGACAGGACTTCTTGACTGGCTGCTCTCCAATGCCACCTACACATACAAGGCAATTGTCCTTGCCTGGACTCTTACCATAATAAAGTCGTTGAAGTTTATGACAACAGAGCACCAGTCTTTTTGGGCGTTGTGTTGTTGGCATTCGTGCTTTACTTTTGCTTTAGTTTTAGGCTACAGTACGCTACGTTTTTTAAGGTTAAGAAGGAATCGTGTGAGTATTTATTTCTTAAACGAGCGTAGCTAATGTTGATTGTCCACAAAGGAAAGTTAGCTACCTAAAGACTGAAAATTCCACCATGTCCATGAACAAGGGATTACTAATTCTGTGCCTCTGTAGCTAATTGAAAATGGATTTGTTGACGTAATTGACGGTCATGACCACTGATGACGGTGTGTTGATGGTGATTTAAACCCCATTAATTAAGTTGATTTATCATTATCAAAATCAGTGATGTCATTTCCTACCTCCATGGTTGATGCTATGGGGAAAAGTGAAATTTGAAGTTGAATTGTTCTGTTAAATGTTGTTGGCCTCTTATTTTTGTAATCGTATATTAAACCATGGATCTTCCATGCAAGATTAAACATATCATCTGACTTATCATTCTTGGATGTCCCAGAAATTGGATGAATATTTTTCTGAAACAAAATATTTTATAGTCCTGATTTGTGTAACCTAGGGCCTATGTGTTGTATATTTTGGCTCAAACTGCCACCGTGGCCGCCATATGGCCTCTCTGATTACATTTTTGTCAGTGCTTTGTCGTGATGTTTTTACCCCGGAAAGAAATAATGAGCTATACATTTTCCTCTCGTGCAGCAAACATATGCTATGCATACAGCAGAGTTTCACTGTTTGAGGAAGTGTGGTTATTGTTGTCTAAGCTTGGTCGTACTTCTTGTCATCACATTGGTAATTTCTTCTAGTGGACAGAGGATAGGTGAGTGAAGTCGCAACGTTCTAGGCTCTCAGGTTTGAAGGGGGAATGTTACTCTCCGACACATTGCATTCTAACTACAGCATCAGGTCCAACTATTTGCTATACAGAGCTATAGTTGGGCCGTGACCTTTACTTTCAGTACAGCATCTGTGTAATGTTGTATTTATCATCATGTTCACTACTGAAGACCCCTGATATCTGTAAGTTTCATTAAAGATAATCATCAGTGACCAAAATCTTCAAAGTACAAATGAAAGTTTAAAATTACATCCCCTGATGAAACATTTTTCAATATCAAGACTTTCAAGCTCAAGACCTAATCAGCTTCAAGAAAACTAGGTCTGGTTGTTAGATAGGGAAGATCTCCACACCTGTTGATTGTCATTCCCAGAACTTTCATTGTTCATTTCATTTATCATCAGGACTGGGTCAGGTTCAGTTCAAGATAAGTTGAACTTTAAAAAAGTAGATTTTTAAAGGTTATAGGCCCCCTCATGAAAAGCTTCCTCTGAAGGTTACTAAAATTGTCATCTGAGTACAAATCAACACCAAATAATTAACATTGTTGGAAAAATTTGTTGATCTGAATGTTCCTGGTGGTTCCTTTTTCTCCAGACCAGTTTGAGGTTCGTCTTTCTGACGGGATCCTAGGCCCTCATGAAGGAAGACTGGAGGTGTATTATGCATTGGGAGATAGTTGGGGCGTAGTCACCAGCACGGGATGGGGACTTGCTGAGGCCAATGTAGTTTGCAGACAACTCGGTTTCTTGGCTTCATTTCCTGCCGCTGTGGGTCATACATTCAGCACAGATCTACGTACGTCTGTTGTGGACAGGGTCAGATATAATTCTTATAATTTCCCATCTCTTTTGGTGTTATTTATTTGTGAGAGATGCTTTATTGTTCCACCGCTAGAGCCGATCCAGGGATACCCAGTGCGAGTCATAGCCCCCCCCAAAAAAAGAGCCCTTTTTTTCTAATTAATGAAAGCAAAATTTTCGGTCAATGTCATTTTCCTTCCTTAAGATGTGTGTATTAGTCCCAAATTTTAGTTTTACAACTCCAAAAGGCCTAAAAGATTACATGCACATGAAAAATTTTCAGATTTTTTTAGCTCCCTGCCCCAAAACACATTTGCCTCCACCTTGACAATTTTTTTTCTGGATCAGTCTTTGTTCCACTGAGAATCACTTTGAAGTTCAAACCACCAAACCTGCTTTTATGAAACAGAATATTCCATTCCCAATAACGCAATTCAACAATCCACCCTTATCAAGCCCGAGAGCATCTCATCCAGCCCGTCACAAAGATCACTGACAATGCCTTCAGTCTTTATCGGTTCCATTTTTTCTCATTTGTAGATTAAATGTAGTGGCAGTGAGACACGACTGGACCAATGTGTCAACCGTGGATGGCTGTGCTCTGGTGATTGCTCCAGCGACAATCATGTTGGGGTCAGATGCCTCACAAAGGCGTTACCACGTATGACTGACCTTTTTTGAGAACATCGTATATAGGTCTAGCTTTAGGACCAAGCTCATAGTTGTGTTAAGTTCGGGTTAAAAAAAGGCCATCCTGTGAACGGAGCAAGATAAACACTTTGGTTATCTCACGTTTTTGAAAAAGGTAAAAAATATATTTGAAACTTAGCATTTTTGGTTGTATCTGACAGAACAACTCTACCAGGTGAGGTTGACAGGCAGTACATCACAGTTTGAGGGTCTCGTTGAAGTCAGATATAATGACTACTGGGGTCCAGTCTGTGGTACAGGGAGTGCATTTGACTTCCTGTGTGCAGTTACCGTCTGCCGACAGCTAGGCTATGGGCCACCAAAACATTACCGGATCTTGAGCGAAACAGACCCAGGTAAAGCCAACTAACAGTTGAGAATGCTGACTGATTCATTTGGGACTCTGTATAAGTGAAGTCTTTCTGTTTACATGTATGTTGTTAGATAGTCAGAACTTTTGTTCAGATTCTGTGAGTAAAATGACATTTTGCTGGCAAAATTTGTATAAGTATGAAGTCAGGTTGGTTATGTCATGAAGCCTGTGTTTGATGTGACCAGATATCAGATACTTCCTCATACTGACTGAGTTTTGTTTTTGTAATATTTCTCTTTTTTCCTCAGAATCCAGGCCCAAATTGATTCACAGCGCCTCATGCCACATGTGGCATCGAAGCCTTTTGGACTGTGAAGTGAATGGCGCTGACGGAACTGTCTGTTCACCATCTCACCCAGCGGCTTATGTAGCCTGTAACAGGCCCGCAGGTACCAGACTTACTTTATGCGGTCATATCTGGCCACAAAATTTTGCTCACGTTAAGTTAAAAAGGGAAAATCTGTAAGTTCAGAATTCACTTTTATTGGTACGTATTTTGAAATCTGCCGTAAATGCCGTTTTTGTTTAAATACATTTGCAATCTCATTCTCAGATCTGTATCCCCTCTATTTGGATTCTCTCTCAAATCGATATGAGGGCGCTGTTCGCATTTACTCTGACGGGCAGTTTGGAACCGTTTGTAATACAAATTGGACCCTGACTGAAGCTGAGGTTGTTTGCCGTCAACTGGGTTACGGTTTGCCTGTTGGACCAAATGTGTAGGTCATTAGTGTTAGTGACAAAGCCCCCCCCTCTTTGAAAAATGCCTAGATTAAAAATAGTTTAATCCACCAAAACAAAATATGATACCAGAGCATAGTGTCGTATAAGTTTCAGTGTTTCTGATGATTTTTCATACAATTTGTGCATCTCATTTAGCTGAGCACTTATTGCGCGAATCAATAGTTAAATGAACGTCCATCTCATCAACTTCCATTTTGCACCGATTTTATATTTGTATTTTAAGACCCTCAAAGATAGCCATAGAGAAAGATTTAAGGGTTTGAAGGCCACAATGGAACCCCCGTCCTCCACCATGAAAGAAAAAATTGAAAAGTTGTACCACAAAAAGAGAAGACTGATTTGTTTTGTAAAGTCCACTGTCTTGAGAAAGACTTTGGTTTCCTCCCATATAAGGTTAATTTTGTACGGAATCTCACTTGAGAGTTTACCTCTGTTGCTTTGTCAATATTCTTTGATTTGTTCAGTCCTTCAGAGAATCTTGCCGGACCAAGTTACGAGCCCATTCTACTTGATGCTGTTCAGTGTGACAGCGGCGAGTCCTTCTTAGCAGAATGTAGCCACAAGCCATTCAGAGACACCACCTGTCAGAAGCAGGACGAGGCCTCGGTACAGTGCCAACGGCCAGAGCTAGAGGGTTAGTAGATCATGGCCTTATCCTTGAAAAGCCTTATTTCAGGTGCAGCATTTCTGCGTACTCTCTCTTGGTTCCAATTTTTCACTGAAGTTAAGTCAAGTGCAACAACAGTTTGCCAAGAATACTTTTGTTTTATTATTTGCAGTTTTCCCCCCACGAAAAAAATGTAAAATTGTAATTTGTGATTATTTGCATTGGACAGATTTTAGCCTTCGCATCGCTGATGGTAATGCTTACCAAGGTAGGTTAGAGGTCGCCTTTCGTGGCCAGTGGATGGCCATCTGTAACGACACCTGGGACCTAGCTGCAGCCAATGTCTCCTGTCGTCAGATCGGCCTGGGGCCGGCTCGCTCAGTATCGGCAGAGTTTGATTTCCAGCCACAGTTTGTGGTGTGGAATGAGGTTGCTTGCCAAGGAACGGAGGAGCGATTGGACCTTTGCAAGACCTCTCAAACTGGCCAGTACTCCTGCAGTAGTGGCAAACTCGCCGGAGTAACCTGCAGTCCTTACAGAGTGCCCAACCCAAATGCAGGTAGACTATGAAAACAGAGAGGACTGGGTAGTTCCCTAGCACTTGAAATTGGAAAGAATTTTGGTTTGAATAAACCCGTTGAAAATAAATGTGTTCAGCAGAAGGTTTAGGAGGGGAATTTATTTTTCCAAGCTGTTGTTTCGAATATTTAGGACAGGCTGAAATCTGCCATTTGCCCTGTTCAAATGGAAATCGATTAAGCCAAGGCAAAATTGTTTCAGAAGCTTATGTGTACATTCCTTACTGGCCAAAGACTTGAGTAAAACAGTAAATATTTGTCTTCATTTCTCCAATATAAAGCTGCTGCTTAAATGCAGAAAATCTTCTATTTGACCAGGTTGAAGAGGGCCTGATATTTAAGACCGTTGATCTGTGTTTTTACCATGCACAGATAAAATACGTCTGATTGCTGGGATCCTGCCACACGATGGGGCTGTTCAGCTCTACAAAAACAGCATCTGGCAGGCCGTCTGTCCATCGCGGTGGGATAATAGGGATGCAGTCGTTGCATGCCGGCATTTGGGCTACCACGGCGCCGTACACAACAATGCATTTAATACAGAAGGCCCGTTCTACATGGACAACGTAGCGTGCCAGGGGTCAGAGGTGAACTTGACCAGTTGCTCTCACTCTGTCTTGACCCCAGGGGCAAGGTGTGAGGGCGACATTCAAGCAGGTGTCACTTGCAACCCGTTTACTGGTATCAAAAGCCTCACAGGTACAGCTTTGTTTCATATTCCGATATGTAATTCAATTTTCATATGTTACCAGAACAAAATATTTACTGACAATTTTCTCTCTGAAAAATGCGTTTGACTCAAGTTTGAAGCAGCATCCAATGACACTACAGTCAGTTTCTGAACTTTGAAAGGCTTAAAGCCTTGGAAAAAGAGAATGAAGAAAAGTTAACGTTCAGTTTCAGAGGAGAGGGGAATACATGTACCCTGGGTATAAATTCCAGGGAAAACCCACAGCGTCGGGTGAAAACCAAATCCACACTTTAGCCTTGGTAGGATTTGAACCTGGGTTGCACAGGTGAAATGTGATGGAAGTACCTCCTTATCACCCTTGCTTATGGTCGTTACAAACCTTTGACATGGTAACAGAAAGTGCAGTGAATAGAAAGAGTAAGCCAATGGTGATGTTTCACATAGGGATCAAAACTACGTAGAAGTCCGCCATTTTTGAGTTCTCATTTTTTTCTGTGACAACCCTAACCCTCCTCATCAGCTACAACTCTTCGTCTCGTTGGAGGAGACACCTTACAAGAGGGGCAACTGCAGGTATACTTTGCTGGTGTCTGGGGCACAGTGTGCAGTGATAAAGCATGGGACATGAATGCCTCCCATGTTGCCTGCCGTCAACTTGGTTACGAGCGAGCTGAGAAAACTGGTACCGGAAACAAGGAAAAAGTGAGCTAAATAATAAATTGTATTAAATTCAAATCCAATACTTTTAAATAAAAATTAATACTGAGTAATTTATTTATCTAGTCCTAACCTCTGAAAAAACCTTTTTGTGAAGGCATCTATCATTTTTCGCATACGATCTGGAGGCAGTATCCAAGAGTATATTAGATGAATTTTGCTCGTATTATTTAAAAGAAAACCCATTTTGGGGCAATTACAAAAGTTTCCCTGATGTATTTTTGATCCAGTATGTTAGATCCTACCTGTCGTAACTTAGCCCTTAAATCATCATCATCATCAATTCGTGTTTGGTGTTCTCCCCCTACAACCAAATTGCTCTAGAAGCCGCATGTAGGTCACACCTCCGTTCAATTGATGCTTTTCTCCATTCCACAGGGGATGGAGTTCTTATTGGGCAGAGTGGAGTGTTTAGGGACAGAGTTGATGCTGTCAGCTTGTGCCCATGCTCCGTGGGGGCAGGTTAGCTGTCCACCCAATCAGGCAGCTACAGTCGTTTGCAAAGATCGTAAGTAGATATTTGTGAAAAAAATCTGTTTTGTGCGAACAGGTTATGGCTGTTCAGCATGGACCAGGCTCAAGTTTAACTCTTGCCACAAGACATTTGTTCACAAAACTGTAGAAAATTTCCAGAAAAATATCAAGCCACTGAATTGTCCACGCGAATATAAGTGAAATAATAAGCTATGAATAATAGAATTGATAAATTTGGATGGCTGGAGAAGATAATGGTCTAAGGTTGAGGCCAAATTCTTAATACCAAAAGGATTAAGCTTGGGGAGTTTAGACGAGGCATGAACTCAGTGCTGGTATTTGCTGAGATCGTCATTCCTTGATGTTTGTTCTTCAGGTCCTGGCCAGAAAATGGACAGCGGGGTCAGTGAGTGGTTGTACATCGGTATCGTGATCGCTGTCATTGTCATTGTCCTGATCAGTGTCTTGGCCACCTGCGTCACCTGGTCTATGAAGAAGAAGAAAGCCGAGAGGAGGATCCGGGAAGGGCCCGACCATCACAATGTCCGACATGAACACCTGGAACAAAGATCCGCTGAGCCAGAGGCCAGAAGGCAAGAAACGGCCGAGACAAAGATGTTGTGAGAGTACCGCTTGAGGTAAACGCCTGTAGCATCTCAAACTTAATAAGAAATGTGAGCATCCAGGCAAACACAATCTATGGTACTACCCAAACTACCTTGTTAACAATTCAAATTGATTGAAATACAAGTCTAGTGTGAAACCATTCCGGGGGGATCGAGTGTCATGTGAATATGATATAGAATATTTGTCAGCTACTGAATGTGATACATTGTGTTAAAAGTGAAATGAAATAAACCTAACCGAAATTGAAAGTGAAAATTACTGTGTTGCAGAATGTTAACTATATTTTATGACTTATTCTTTTTATAAAAACCAGTAGGTGATCCACTGATAATATTCAGATAACTCAATATTATGCAGACTCCATAAAGACTAATGAAAGCCATGTTTGATTCAATATTTCATTCTTTATTCATTCCTGAAGATGTTCTGAATAAAGAACGAAATATTGAATCAAACATGGCTTTCATTAGTCTTTATGGAGTCTGCATAATATTGAGTTCTTTTATAAGATTGCCATATCTTTTGTAATACCAGGATTTTTTTATAGTAGTCAAAGTTTATGTAAAGTTATCATATGTCATTGCTTACATATGCCGTTGTCACGGTAAATGTTTGCTGTTTAAAAAGCAGAAATATTAAGATACATATATGTGTGCTGAATTTTTGTTTCTGTTTATTAATTGAATGTTTTGATGTGTAATGTTGATGCTAATTTATGCTCGGCATTAATTTAATTATGCATGAAGTTGGTTTTGTGTAATGAATATGGTCATTGTTAGAGTTTATTCAAGTTTATGTAATTGGACTGTGTGATCAAACAGATTAGGATGTATAATTTGTGTAACACAAAAGGTTTGTTTTCCAATCTTTTGAATGCAGTACGTCATTATGTCGAAAGTATGTGGAGGTGTGAAATACAGTATCCGCCTCGATCTCGAGTGTTCATTTTGTTGGTAGCGATGCGATCGTAACACGTTCATTTCATAGTCGTGCGTGAACCAGCGAAATGCGGTTCCGACCAAAGGAGCCTCCGTTGCTAAGAAAATTGCGCCCTCTCTTGGTCGTGTTTGAGGCTCATCACGTGTTTACATTGCAATTTCTTCGCAAACAGGTTTTATGACAGGGTATTCGTGGAATGTAATTTATTCACTTTGTTGATAATTTAATTAGGAAATACATTGCTTCGGTGCGTGTTTAAATGAAATCTTCATTTTTACTTGAGTATCTACACATTTTGTGACTATTTATGAACATATTTGAATGCATACAATGCATGTTCATGATTGTTAGCATATGTTTGATTATTTGTCACTACCTTTCGCATGATTGAATTTCTTGTGTGCCTTTATAAGGCAAAATATTCGTCTTGATGTCTTTCAAAAATTATTTTGTTTCCTTATTTTGGAATGAATACAGTGCCATACACCCTTGCCGCATGCTACGTCTTTCTGTTTGCAGTGTATATATTTCAATTTAAACAAAGAATTCTAGTATCAGAGCATGAAATAAAAGTATCGTTTACAGTCATGGCATGTAAGACATTTCAATTTAATATTTGCCATTGCGTCTTCATATTATTCCTTCTGCATGATATTGGTACATGTTGTGCAAGTCATGGCTTTTTTTCGGTCAGGTCCACGGTAGATTGGACTTTATGCTTCGCCAGCGCTACAAGGGCGAATGGGGGCGCGCAACGGGGCTAAGTTGGCCCCCCACACACACACACCCATCCCCCACGCACACACCAAAAAGAGCTCTTTTAATTAAGCAAAAGTGAAAGACGAAGTTTTCAGTTTTTTATTTGCATTCTTTCAAAAAGCCTAAAAGCTCCAAATGTCTCATCATTCCGGCAATAAAAGTTTACTCGAAAAAAAAATTTTTCCTCTCCCGAAAACACCCCCCCCAAAAAAGTGGTTCTGGTTCTGTCCTTGCGCTGGGATGGATATCTCTCTGGCCAATAAAATAAACTCACGACTGTCATCAACCGCAAAGGGTGTGAGGGTCGGTTTGTGTTTAGACGCTGTTCAACTCGCTAATGGGCGCGTTATAAAACTGGCCAGGTTAGTATCCGGTTGCAAATTTGATAAAGATTTGAGAAAGTGGTCAATCCGAGGGTTTGTTGCTAATTGATTAATGGACAAACCGAGCCTGCTCTGGATTACAATGGATTTAGATAGGTCCATTTTGATATCTTAAAGGACAAATTGAAATATTGCATGTTTGTGGCTGAAACGCAAAAATCCAAACTAATGGATGACTTGCACTGGAAATGGAACAGGTCGGTATAAGGGGCCTCGCCTAAGCAACGATAAAAGCGTGATCGGGCCTTCCATTCACGGATGTTGGCCCGTATGTCACAGAGCCGATCGTTGATAAATCCCTTTGACATCTATACAAAGGGATAATCTGAAACTTTCACCTGAGATTGTCACAATCAGTATCAGCGGAGACCAGACGAAGGCAGATGTTTCCCTTCAAAACGAGGCTCTTTGAAGATTCTTAAGAAACAAAATTAATTACGATTTTGTTTGTGACTGCCAGGCTTGTTTTCATAATAGGGATCGTGATGGCGCACATCCGTCGTTGACAGTCGAAGCTGCATTAATGATGCAAGCCAGCTTGTTTGACGACCGATCGAGCACACTCAAAAGAGACTGACGGGACCACGCTATGCGATTAGACTCGTAATGCGTCATATATTCCAGTCATGATGTTAATACAAGAAGCAATGAAGCCTGAATGAGTGCACTGGAGATAGCCCGTTCCAAGAAAAGAAAATGGATTGGCTTCTTCATAACATCGATGGCGATTACAGACTTATATAAGAAACGCTGTCTGGATGTTTCAATCGGATTATCCTTCATGTTATTGTCGTTTTGTTTTAATGACGCTTTCAGCTACTCAGGCTATTTGAGCCAATAACTGTACGATTATTGATAACCATTATTATTCAACAGCATCACATTACGGAGTTAGGAAGGAGGTCTAGTTTTTGAGGTAGGAGGAAACCGCCGAGTACCGGGCCGGAGAAAACCCGCCGCGTCAGTGCGGCGGTCGGAGAGCGACTATGGACTGGAAACCAAATGCACTTGAAGCCTGGGCAGATTTTCCTTCATTCATATTGCTGCATATTTTATCTCACTATCTTTCCGTAGGTGAAAAATTCGGCTACATATATTGTACATGCCGTTTGTTTGTTGGTTGGTTGGCGTGTTTGTTTGTTTGTTGTTTTTTTCTCTGTTAATTTATTGTATTGGGTTCCTCCAAGGCCCACTTCTGAGTGTTTGACAATAATGTTACCCTACAACTTAGTACAAGGAAGGATTACGCCTAGGTTTTGGAGAGTTGTATGTGCAGAATCTGGCAAGAAATTCTCCGAATCAGCCCGGCTAGACCGGCGCGCCGGATCCAAGAGTTTTCACTATGCACGTATTAGCCTTTCGTCAAGGCCTTCATGGCTGTGTGTAACTGCAAAGCGACTGGACCGGAGACCACATGCCCAAGTGGCGCAGCGCCACAGTGGTCCACCTCACCTGACCATCCAACGATGGAAGAATTCCTCTATGATCTTACTCACCCATAAATCTAACGAGCAGGGGGACAGACCGTCCCATGGTACCTCCAAGCTATTCTTTCATCCCAATATTTCACTGACTGAGGTCTCAAATATCCGGAACTACGTCTCCGTGCAACAGGTCCATGACATGTGTGATTCTGATTTATTTCCTTGAAATTTAAAACCACGGGCCACAATACTGACTCGAAGACTTTCGATTTAGACAGGATTCCGAGCCGTTTTCCTTTATGTAACATCGGATGGAGTGAGGCGTCCATTGAGCTTATTAAAATGGTGTTTTGGGGAAAGTCGACCCGTTAGCACTTTCAGTGCTAGATGCCATGGGTGACTCCAGGAATCCGTGATCCGTCAAGTAGAAAATAACCAACTCATTTTGCTCTGGCCTGTGGTGCAGTGCCTTTGTTGAAGCATGGAGGAAGGTTCTTTCCTCCATGGTTGAAGCTTATGCACGGATGTTCTGTCGGGGAGAAATGAGGTTACGTGTTCTAGGTATAAACACAGCTACAACGAGACTTTGAATAATTGGAGCCAATAAAATTAATGGCGCAACAAACATGAGCGTAAACCCATGCTCAGTACAAATAAATGAAGTACATGTATTATGTAATTCCAATTGCAAAATTTCGTAAAAGGCTCGCGTCTTATACGGGCTTTTGATGATAGCATCTCCCATGACGCCATTAAGTCGACTTCTCATGCTATCCAGGTAAAGTTGCAATTAAAGAATTCCTCCTAGTTTTTTTTTTACAAATATACCCCGGCATTAAATGATTAATACAGCCTTGAGAGAAACTACATCGGACAGTTCAAGTTCTCAGGGGTGACCTCCTCAGCGAGACATTTCGACCGGAGATAATGCCACTACGCTGACAAAGTATTCATTCGCATTCCAGCTCTTGATGGGAAATGCACATTGCGACCCGGTCCTGATAAGTTACGCGGTTAGTGACCATTCGATATACCCTTAAGCTGGAGCTGGACTTGTGTGCTGGGATTACAGGTTAGTAGTATTGGCATGCGGTTCACGAATGATTACGGTTGCAATTTTCCGCCTGCATGCATGCACAGAAAAGGGGTAGCCCTCCGCGAGTTAGACACGTCGTCTGAATCGTTCTCTTTAAAACAATGCGATTAGCAATTAACACCGGTTGAAGTTTCTTCCTTTTTCCTTCCTTTCTGTCTCTCTTTTCCTCATTGTACACCAGGCCTTGCTTTCATCTTGGTTCCATTGGTTTCTCAAGCTATGTGGTCACTTATGACATCTGGAAATGGCATAAGTGAAACGAAACCTTACCTTGGACTATTTTAATTTCAGAGCCGCAAAGCAAGCCTGTGACACGTACTATTCATCATCAAATTATCTATATACTGGCCGTTCATGGTGTTGTACTTCGATCGACATCACGCCCACTGATCGCATTATAGATTATGGCCCGGTAATTATGAGCCGTTATAAAAGTCGATACTATACTCAGAAATGCCGCCGTTGCAGTCCCGCTAACCAGTCACGTACATCAAACAAAGAGGGCCCAACGACACGATGGCCCCCGTGGTCTGAGAACGGTGAGTCAAACCGTGGCTCGAGGTAGAAATATTCGAACAGTTCCCAGAAAGCAGCCCTAACTGGGACACAGGCGAGTGGTGGTTCATTGTGACCACGTTTATAGAGCGTCGCCTTCACAATGGACGAATTTTTGACAGCAGTGTCGTGGGTATGGGACGGCACGTATTGTGTTTATCCCACTTTCCCACAGGATTATTGTGTTCTTCGGGGACTTCCTGCTCTGAGGTATTCGGCCATACCTCTCGAAGCAGCCAGAACAAAATTAGACCATGTTTACGAGACGAGAAGCTATAAGGATCATTTTTGTTAATAAATACTCTCTTTGTTCGTTATAGTTTAACCAGGACCACACTACGTAATTACATCATAATGGGATTAAGATTAAAAATAATAACATTATGTGCATGTTGAAACCAATCTCCATATAAAATATAAAACAATGTAAAGCATGTATATAGGTTTCTTATTACATGAGCAGAAAATAATGAGATAAGAAAAAAGAAAGAGGTGGGATGTAAATAACATTAAAAAAAGTAAACCGGTCAAGGAAAGCGTGAAGGGTTTTTGGCCAGTGTCTGACAAAATCTGTGTAAAACATTGGGGTGCAATTCCATCAAATTTCACCGTCCTTTCAGAACCAGACGGATCAATGTACATGATAATTTCTGCGTCAAAATGTTCCAAATCTAAGTTAACTTCAAAGTAGAGATTTCTCCTTCTAAGACCACATCCTTTTGAATCAAAAGTTCTTCCCTCTTAGAAAAAAACTAGACAAAAGCAGTTTCAACCACATAATCTGAAGGCTCAAATTTCAAGTCAGAAATCATCTAGCGGAGAATTCAGATCAAGTAACGCCGTCAATGGTACCGATAACTAATTGCATTCGAGAGTGTACACGGCATACGATGCAATTATACGATGTCGTGTCGGTACTTTAAAGGATTTATTACTTGGATGAAAGAGACAACACCAAACAAAACGTCATGAATGTGCAGCCTGGGTGCCATTGATTTATTTATTATTCCTGAACATTGGCCCCATGGTTACTGAAAGAGGGGAAACAAAATAATGTGTAAAAGGCTGAGAGTGAAGATAAATCATCAAAGTCTCATTATGGGAGGGATGTCTTCCATTACTGAAATAGCAGCTTCAGTAATTGGCAATTTCTTGCCTCGCCCCTAAACTCTTGGAGTACACGTATTCCCGCCTGTCAACCCATGCTTATTAAATTTCAATTAATTCATCATGACTCCATTAAAACTTAATTCTTCAAAGACCTTTTCCGAGAATCCCATTCCCTCCTTAGGGGTAACAAGACTTTTTTGTACTGGTTCCACTAGCCATGACGACGTCATCGATTATTTGGAGGCTCTTAACGCTGTGGAGTGAGCGTTTATAAACCAAGCAACATCGGAAACTCCACCGCATGGCGGGCCACTAGTCAGTTTGGATTCAGTCGAGTCATGAACGGGACAAACTTGACGACTGAAGAAGGCAATGTCGGCCTGCGGGTGGTGGAAGGTGTCACTTTTGTGATCATTACCCTCCTGATACTCATCGGCAACTGTCTGTGTCTGCTTGTCCTACGACTCGCTCGGAGCATGAACAGCGTGACCCGGGTGTTACTCATCTCACTCACGGCAGCTGACCTGCTCATGGGTACGGTCGTCGGCGCCCCCATCCTCGGCACGGTCATCGCAAATGAGTGGCCTTATGGGTACGTCTTCTGTGCCATTTCGGCCTCCGGGAACCAAATCTGCGCTACCACGTCTCTGTTCTCACTTCTCTTGATCAACGCTGAGCGGTACGTGTGCATCTCTCGCCCCCTGAGGTACTCTGAGATTGTCACGGTCAATCGCGCCCGGGGAGCTGTTGTCTGCGTTTGGATCTTTGCTCTGTTCTTGGGTCTCTCAAACTGCTTTCTCCCGGGCAGGGTGGCCAACTACCACGAGTATCTTCACTCCTGTTTTTTCGACCCTTCGTCCGGTAATCCAGACGTCATGGGCACCCTGTGCGTGATTCTCTTTGTCTTTGCACCGTTCCCAGTCCTCATCTTGATGTACATTCGCATCTTCGTCATTGCCCGACGACACGCAAAGGACATGGAAGCTCGGGCCATCGCGATGTACGAGCAGGCTCAGCGACTCAGCCTCCAGGAGAACGGACGGATCAGCCTTGACCAGGGACGCCGGCGATTCTTCCCAGAGTACAAGGCGGCCAAGACATTCGGTATCATTACTTTCACGTACGCTGTGGCCTGGATGCCCTTCTTCTGCATTGTCATTTATGAGAACCTCACCCTTACCAAAGCCCCACGTGGTTTGACTGTCACGGCAGCGTGCATGGCCCTATCCAACAGTTGGCTTAATGTTCTCGTCTATTACGTTCGCAATGCTCTTTTCCGTGATGCAGCGAAGGACATATTGTCGAAATGTTTCCATGACAGACTGCACAGGTTGTAATCTTTTCACTTTTAAAATATCATTTCTTACGTCAGTTTTAATTTGACGGAACTTTTTCTTGAGCTGATGGGTTACATCTTTGATTAATTTAATATAGATTGAATTTTTGATCTCAAGTCGATTGGTTCTAAATTTCATGATGAACGACGCATGCAAAATAATTGTCTGTGGAGGCATGCATTTAGACCACTATATGGCTTTTTTGTTGCACGCGTTCAGACTTTTAACTGAGACAAGTCAGAAGATATAATGAACTGCCACATTGCCAAGCTTCAATACGGAACTACAAAAGTGATGAAGACAACAACAGTATAACCCGCAGTGTGAACGAACAGAATGAAATAAAAAATGGCGACTGTTTGGAAGTCTTTCCTTTCACGTAATAGAAAGATGAACCCAGTGTATGAAGCCTATATTACTAACTTGCGACCTTACATCGGCTACAAAATCCCAACACTAAAAAGAAACCCGCATTTTCCACAAGAACTATATGCCTATTGGACTGTATTTTGAACCATGCTTTTCGGAATTCTGTTCCTCTTGGGGTTCATGGAGTAGTCACAGGCTTTGTGCTATTCAAGGTTGACTTAGATTGGCACTGTAATTTCATTTTGATTAAAAGACCTCTGCGATAATTGAATTGGTGCACGAGTGTGTTACTCTCTCCAATGACACATCGCGTATACAAGGCTCATTACTGACCACTACTGGCTTAATTAGATTTTTAATGTCACCCACGGTGTTAACTAGTACTCCTGACGACAAAATGACCGTAAATCCATCATAATGTTAAGATTTCTTGACAATGCATTCAATTAAAAGATGCATGGCCCTATGGTAGAACCCATGCCTTTTAGGTGACGCACTGTTGCCAGTGAAAGTGATATAACACCGTTTAATAGAAATTCGCCCACGTCGAACCAAAACCTCAACTTTTTTCCCAAAATTGCGGTGTCAAATTGGTGTTAATTTAACACCCTGGGTCTTATTAGAGGATTACATCTTGCCTGTTATAATCCTTTGATATAACACCGCTGGTGTTAAATTAACCCCACACTTGTTACAATGCAGTCGCACACGGTTTATCGTTTGGCCAAAAGAAAGGTTGATACATTTGCCAGATGGAATTTCATGCACTTTGGCGAGGGAAACCTTACTCTGACAGTGATACATTGTGACACCGTGAAAAAGTATAACCATTTCCATCCAGTGATGTACTAACATTATTTATAGATATTTGAAGTGATACTGGCAGTCATCATAAATTCAGGCTTCTTCATAATGGTTACGTTTTGTCATTTAAATACAGGTTTTTAAAAGTCTTTAATAGCTTTTTTAGTGGACTTTTTCTGTGAGCTATTGTGAAAGATTGACATAAAGCCTCTTCTCAGAAGTTGTCCGCTCAACTTTTCCTCTTGAAATGCCAAACAAAATTGTGTGGGCATCCGGAAGCATCCCTCCCATGGTAGAATCACAGTCGGGATGTACTGATGTGAAATGAATTCGATTCGATGGAATGCTAAAAATATTTTATTAGTAGGCGCGCCAACTCATTATGACACAGCGGATAATTACAGGAATTGGTAGTCCAGAGAAGGAAACCGTTATCATGGCTGACATTCCCGCGATTACATCTCTAGAGGCGCGCGTTTTCCGGTTTGGAAGGCCTATCTAATCGGGTCCTTTGTAAAGTTCAGATGGCATGGGTTATAAACACACTATAGTGTGGATTTTAATTTGATGTTTACCAGTGTTTGCGGGGATATATCATTTTTCTCCGGTAAAGTTCGGCACAATACGCATGTTTTTGCAAGGTAATGAGCATTCCACTAGGCTTGATTCTTCTTTCCTTGTTTTTTTGTATTTTTAACATAATAAGCATGGTATATCTTCTGTACTTCTATTGTAGCAGCATAGTAAACTCACCCATACAAAGTACAAAATTTTGTATGACAATTTCAGTGTATGACACTAACTTCGGATATAGGGGGCGGCCTCCAGAATTAGGGGACGGGCCAAACTCGGTTTTGTTTTTGAAATATGGATTTTTATGAGCCTTTCAGACTGTCGGGAGTTGAGACTACAGTTGGGTTTTTTCAAATGCTTTTAGAAGAAAGGGATTTTGTTCTTCAAAAACAATGAAACAAATTTGCTCATTTTGTGGGGGAGGGGCTGTGGCCCTCTTCCAGCCCTGCCCCCATCCTTATTTCAGATGAATGTTACCGAACCGTTTGTACTATCAGATGTACACCCTTCACATTTCTCTAAGCGTGCACATTAATCAACAAGAAAATAGGCCTACAAGGAAAATAAGGATACCATGATATTGGATAAAACCAATGTTTGCAACTGGTCTGGTGTACTCTACTCTCCTGCCTGTCTATTTCTAGAGCAACAAGGTATAGCTATAGGCTTAAAGCATTTCTGCACCTAGAGCAAGCATTGCGTAATTAATTGAAACAGGTGGCAAGTCTTGGAGAACACACCGAGTTGCTCATTTTGCCAGGAACGTCATTATCCAAAAGTCTGAAGGACAATAGGTCCAATCTACCGCTGATCTTTCAATTTGCCAAGAACAATGAGGCATTCATTATTATAACGGGCGTGATTGGGCTTAATTTGAGAGCCTACACTGCGATGAGAATAATATTTTTTCTTCCCTAATTAGCTAATTTATGTGGCAAACGCAATTCTGATTGCTGGATTGGCGTGAATCTACAACCTCAGAGCTAATAACACCCCGACTTATTTTTCCATCTTGGAGTAAAGCTGCATTCAGTGAGAGTTCGACTATGAAAGCCCAGTTAGTCTCTGCGCAAGCAAATAGTGAAACCTGAAGCCGATTGAGATGAAGGTACCGACCAACAGTACAACCTGTAACATGGAGCTGGGTATTCTTTGGCGTTGAATACAGCTATTGATGTAAGCCAGTATATATAGGTTGGTGGCGCTATTTAAGAAGCATGTGGCAACTGAAATCGCACGAAATTGGCAAGAACGTTTAACGTGTAATTTTATTCTTCTACTCTGTGTGTTTCTTTTAAAACTTTGTGGCAATTTAATTTCAGTTTAACCTTACCTTTAAGTCTTTGTTTTAAATATCCATAATAGACAACATTAATCATCACGGTATAACTTTACAGAACAAATCGATCTTTTGGAAACTTACCAATCGATACTTCCCAGATGATATTTCAAACGCATGCATTTTCCAGACGATACGATTTTCTATGGTGACCGAGGGATTTCGTTGAGTAAAGATGTAATTTCAACTTGTTGTAAACGTGACATAGTCTTCATCTGCAGAGTGAATGGTGGTTCCCCGTATGAGCCGCTCGCCAACTTGCTTGTTGGTGATGTAAAAAGTCCTCAACTCAGTACAGTCGAGTCATATCGATAGCATTTTATAACTTAACCTATTTCAAAGGAGTCTTATAAGTAATATATATAAATCTATTTGAACTTGTCGGGTAATGAAGACAGTCTGTGCGTCCTGCGATCCACTGATGGTGCTGACTGTATGCCGTTGTGTGATGACTTTGCATGCACGAAGCACGTCACAGGGAGAAAATAGTTGTGCACCCAGTTGCACAATTAACGGCTGTAAGCCAGGAGTAATATGGCTAGCCAAGGTTGGACTAAAGATCGAATTAAATCTCGCAGCTCAGAACGTCAGTAAGAACATTTTGTTCTCTTGGACAATGGACAAGAATGGTGGGAGGGACATTGTTGAAGTCAGAGAAACAACTCCAAAGATGGAGATTCTTTGATTTGAATAGACTCACATGCTTCGCATTCTCCCTGATTCCAATCAAAGAACCTTCATTGTTTTATTGTTTCTGCGAGCGGAACCCAAATGCCCATTAAGCAATTTGCTATTCAACTAGTTTTCTCTTACAACGTTGTCAACATTCCACTAAAATCCGCGCGCATACTTCGGGCAAAAGCAAAGCAAATTTGGCCTCACGAAACATTTGCAGCGAAATTCGCCAAGTCTAGTTGAAATGTGTTCAGCTGTTGCAAATCTACAGCGCGAATATTTTGTCCTGACGTGACGAAATTCTCGCTCTTTTACGCTTTTATTCGTAGAAAGTGTAAAACACAGTTTTGCATTTTATTGTGAAATACTTCCCTAGGTTACCAGCTCGGCGAGATGGTCCCTTGGGCCAGGCCGGAGTATATAGGCCCCCCTATCTATAGTCCGTATCTGGAGGTTCTGAAACGGAAATCAATTTGCTTTCCGTTTATTGATCCAGCCTCTTACTGTTCGGAGTGACCAACGCTCAGTAAAAGCAGAGCGATAGTTCAAGCCAAGTGACTGGCGGACGGACGGACGGACGAATAAACACATCTAAATTCAACAATAAAACAGGCCCGTGAACGTATCTGGCAAAATCAAAAGGTTCATTTAAATACCGAAGAAGTCCTGCCGACGCCAGGCTACGACCCCGCCCTTACTAAGCGGAGGCCTTGTACCAACAAGTAAACCAGGAATTAGTCGAGGCCGGCCATTAACAATAACAGCTTTGCAAGTGTTTTACGACCGCAATCATAACCAGTGATGAATATCTTATGGCTTATTCCGAAGGATTTAATTGACGACGATTCACTTCTCTCATCGTTTATAAAGAGAACCAGCATAGATCTAGTGCATTTAAACGCAAAATGTCCGTATAAATCAAAGCACCGTACTTAAGACCAAAGAAGTGGCGAATAATACACCCAAACACCTGCATATCTATCTACCTATAGGTACCAGCATAATACACAGCGACGGAAGACATAAATTGTCCTATTTTTTACATGCCTGGGTATCGTTGGTCACACGGATCACAGTAAATTAATAAATGCTATACGACCTCTCAAGGTTTCTCATCCTCCAGCATGTTGCAATATTGCAATGTTTGCAGATAAAAGTTGTCAATTGCTCCAAAACATATTTCTACGAAACACTGCACAAGCCCTAGCAACACAAAAGCACATGATGGTAACCATGACGACAATGATTGCTATAACATCCAGCAGGTAGTACTGAACGAACGATAGTTGCATAGCGCGCGGCTTAAGGTGATCTGTACCGTGTCGCACGGCATACTCCACCCAGTACGCCACCTCTTCCAGCCCTGTCATTGGCGAAGCTCGATCGCGGGCCATCGCAGACATGCGCAACGCGG